CTTAATCTTGTTCGAATAAGCTTGGCGGCAGCATAATAAAGCTCTACATTTCCGCCGACAAACTAAGAAAAAAATGTAGATTTTAAAAGACGAGGAAACAAATATTCGAGTAATTTGCATGCTTTGAAACTCGTATTGATTGAATAAGATTGAATATTGAATACTGCATACTGAATAGTGCATTCCAAGACCAAAGGGCACTGTGGGTCTCGTTAATCTTAAATATAAATGAAATGTAAAGCAATTAACTTTCTATATGTAGTTAGTATATTGTTTCAGATGGAATACACTAATACACTTTAGACAATGTCACTATGACCCACAATGCACTTCGGTCTTGGAATGATCTATTCAGTATCTAGTATTTAGTATTCAACCTTTTTTTGAAATAGCTGTACATAGTTATATATTGAAAATTGATAAACGAACGATTCAAAGTTACCACAAGTAATTAAGGTAATCTAAAAGTATCTAAAGTAAAATAAATGATTAAGGACATAAAGGGTGCACAAGATTTTTCGTCCAAGTATTTCCTATTGAGCATGCGCACTTATGAGCTACCCATAAGTCATTGCGAACAGTCAATACCTGCGAATGAAAATCCAATGAAAAGGCTTCCTTAACATAATTAGTCGTTTTGAGGTTAAGGAAAAACTGTGTCGAGTTTGCATTATTTTATGTTACTCTTTCGTGGGACGAAGTAGACGCCATCTTGGAAATATGTGACTTAAAACAGTCCCATAATGCAGTGTAATGCCAATTCGACCCATTTTTTTCCTCAACCCTGGAAAGGGTTCAGTTCACTCACTGATAAAGCTAATGACTTAGATGCTTGTCACCCGGCAGCAAAACTTTGAAAAAATGCCAGTTCAAAGTCTCAAGGCTTATCAAAAAGAAATGCATCAAACAAACTCATCTAGGCTGAAGGCATTGCATTACACTGCTACCATGGCTACGATACGTAGAAGAACTTTTATTTAATTTAGCTCTTAACTTTAAAGGCGATAAAATAGCGATATCGCGTGGTGAAAAGGTTCAACTGTTAGTCTAAACACAGTTCGAGAGGGAAAGGCAGATACCATCGAACAATGACATGACAGACTTGAGAGTACAAGTGCTTGCCTAATGAGAAAACACTTTGCAATCTTGATGATAGAATTATAGTGGTTGAGCAGTAAACGTTAAGCAGAACACTGGATTATTGATGAAGTGCTAAGATAACCAAGGCATTAGACAAAACGCGGCCAAGAAAACAGTAACAACAGTCCTCTTATACCTTGGGAATGGACCATTCTCAAAATTATCTTGAATGTGATACTAACATGATAATACGAAAACATGCTACAAATTCCATCCAATGAAATTGGGATTTCTTTTGTATTTTTTATGAAAGCCTTGAATCCAGGTAATCTTTTTGAGAAGGGTCCATAATACTTCCTCCGCCATTTCAGACCACATGGCATTCCCTAGAGTATCATTTCTTTGTTTAACGGTTGCGCATGAGAAGACACATGAGTGAACATGGATACAACTCAAGCAAAGAATCTCATTCTCAAGGGGATGACACGTGGTCTGAAATGGGACAATAATAAAGAACTCTATTCTTCTTCAAATTTTTTCTTTTTTGTATAAATACTTTCATTTTTATCGATACCTTAATCTACAGAGATGATGCAATTTTAGTTTTATCAAAGTTATAAGATAGCCATTAGCATGATTTCGTTTAGCAAAGAGAGAAAATAACAGAAAAAATATTGGAAAATCCTCGCGGAATAAAGAGAAGGACCCAACAAACTATACTGACTTATGATGCTGACTCCAATCGAGCCTGGGGCGTTACCACCATTTTACTTCGTCATCAAAGTCTAAACATTTGCAGTTATTTTTAGACAAAGGGAGCACCTTCTTATCAGTCGTTGTAAGACCCTATGTAATATATCTTAAGGGCACAAAAAAGAAATTTGATCGGAGCCACTGGTATCGCCTGTCTTCGTAACTATGTACAACGTTATTTTTCATTAACTGACTGACTGCTATCAGATCGTCGGGTCCAGCTATTTTGATATCTAATCAGGACATAGAACTAGGACTTCCTTGAGCTTGTTAAYAGTTACCTACGTTAAAACATTGGAATGACGCTTTTATGTAACCGTATTCTGTTACCATGACTTACGGGTTAAATGTTAGTATAGGAAATCGCACGATTTCGAGTACAATTCGGAATTTATGTTAGGTACGAGTGATGTTTGTTTTCAAAATTGGACGAACGAGCGTTTAGAGCGAGTCCGATTTGAGAACTTTCAAAACATTACTATTCTATCTACTCTTGTCCAATCAGAATCGAGTAATTTTGTTTAGTGTATTATAATATGTGGTAACAAAGACGTACACACATATGACTGTGAAGACTATTCTATGTACGTTTCTCAGATAGCTGATAGAATCTTCACTCGTCCGTTTGTTATATTAGTTATTTCATTCGTTCGATTACGGCCTGCATACTTAGGTCCATTTTATTTTGCCGATTTGATAACGTCAATTTTGCCCTTTTTTTCAGAATAAGACTTGCGTCGAATGCTTTTGGTATATGATATAGTGAAAACTGTAGTACAAAACTACTTTAGTTCATTATACTTGAAGCTAAGACCATAGTTAATGGAGCTCCATTAACTATGATTCACTCTAGTAATAACCAGACTTTTTTGATATCCACGAGTTATGAGCTTCATTTGATAAAAGTGTCAATGAAGCAGTCAAGACATTGAGTCTATTGGACGTGACCACAGATGGTCAGGAATTTCAATTATTAATTTCAATGCAATTAACTGGCTATCTCACTCAGAAAATACAATTAAAACTTGAATCGTTAATTACTAACATTTAGATAATAGTTTTTGTTCTATATTACCTAGTAGGGCCATGAAATGATTTTATCATCGCAGGGTCAAGAATAAAGTTATTTCTAGAATCATGTAGAACAACTTGGCTCAGCCTTGGCGTTTAATAATTCTCTCCCTTGATTCGAGGGTTTTTTCCAGCTTCACCGGTTTTCCTCACTCAGAAAAACTCCTGACTTAGAACGACCTAGGGGTTGTTTCAGGGTTCGATCTGAGAGTTACCCATGCCCTGACTTTGATCAGCCAAGAAGGTTGTTTCTATATAAAATTAGCTGGACAAACTAAGCGCTTATTATACGGTTTTAATATCCTGCGACTTCACAAAACGTTATAAGCTGAATTCTTAACTGAATCAATCTTTGAGTTGAAACAATTTTTTTTTTTTTTTTGCCTTTTTGATTCATATCCGCAAAAGATATGATTCAATACATCTGCGATTTCAAGCGGAGACTTTTAAACTATTTGACTTAATTTATTAGATCTTTCACTGTCGTAGTGGTTTTTTTCGTTCCGGCTTACTATACATCCTATTATTAACATTCAACTCAATTGTAAAATATCGCGGACACACCCAACGCCACACACGCGGAAGCTAAACTTTGCCACTATTGTTATTATGACGTCACCATAGATATTAGACGTCATGTGTATAATGAGCAAACACGTGAGATGCAGACATTGACTTAAATTATAACCTTCGTAAGAAGAGTGTAAACCTTATATCCGTGAAATTGCACAGAAACGAAATAACACATCTATTTCATTGGTGCTATTTTGTACTATTTCACAGATATATGGTTTGCACTCTAGTAGACAATGCATAAATGAAAGATCGTTTTGTGTAAATAAAAAAGGACAATTCAGTTTAAACTATCGACGAGACTCTTGACAAACTGCGTCGTCAAGTCTAACAAAATGCACTTATCCCAATCCTACCATAAAAGAGATAATACAAACACGTCAATCAAAGCGATTATTTTTAAGCCAGTTTCCAAATATACAATTGTCAATTTGACAGTCTAATAATAAACAAACTAAATATCGTAGCAGATAAACTACCGTACCCATTCTAGATTGTCTAGATGTTAATCATTCTACTAATCTCCTCAATAAACATCCAATAATAGTAGTGCCGACCACTGAATTATGTTTAAGGAATTACAATAGCTGATTCAGACTACTATTGGTCCACGGCTAGCGTAAAAGAGAACTTAGTCTCCGGCTTGTCTATTCCCTTATGACATTAGAGAGTTTAAGATTGTCGTTTACGGCAAACGTGAAACGTCAGTTGACCATTAAAAAATTCTTTAAAATTAGTGAAAAGGAATCGCAAAAAACTCCAAGTAGTAGATAAACAAAAGAATACTTGTCTTTGTCGAGAAGGTTTGCAAAAGGTAAAGTGAAATGTAGGGAAACGATGAAAACGTGGTCACGTTTGCCGTTTGCGGGAAGGAAAAACGGGAATCTTAATCTGCCTATTGAGAGCCAAAATACTCGAGTACGCGGCAACGCGATGTCTCATTGACGCAATTCTTTACATCAGCAAATATATGTATATATATAACGATAGAGGTAGAGCGCAAACCAGATATCCGTGAAAAATTAACTAACCAAATTGTACAAATTCTAATAAAGTTTTGTAGTTTACGGTCTCCTGAGGTCTGCTGAACTTACTCATTTGTGAAAATTTGTAGAAAATTTTTTACGAAGTTTTTCACGGAGTATATGGTATGCACTCTGTTGTATATGAACTTGGAGTCAACGTCAACTTGGCTAGGAAGCAAGACTCGTCTTACAAGGTCACTATGTCATTGAAACCGATAAACAGCAAAACACTATCGACTGACATCACGGACTAACCAATTAACAAGAAAACATATTAAACTACAACATAAACCACCCTGGTAATTAAGACTCCTTTTCTAGTGTTGAGTTGGTTAGTGCTCTTTCAATTCATTGACGATTTTGGAGTGTAATCTGACTTAAGTCTGGCCTTACATGAGTAATTAAAGGAGCTGAAAGGCAGGCATAATTGGTGAAGGTAGAAAATACACAGATATTTAGCTATACCCTACGAGACAGACACCAGGTCTCTTTACTCACCTTAGGACGGCTTCTCGGCTTGTACGATCCACAAACAGGACACTCCAGTAGTTTATACTATACTAGATAGACGAACTCGACTAATCAATGGAACCTCTAGAAACTTGTAGTAGTCTTAGTAGAGACTGTAGAAGGTACTAAATCCAGGTTTGGCAGATGTGTTATAGAGATCCTCCCTAGTAATAATATGGAAAATAATCTCTTAGCTGGCGTTAAATACTGAGGAGTCGAGGTAATGAAGTCCAGAAATATCTGATTCAGAAAGCTTAAACTTTTGACCCGTTACTTCCGCCCGGCAGGTTGGTTTCCGGTTTAAACTATCCACAAACAGACATTCTTGTACAAATAGGACGAGTTCGCTGACAACTGAAGGAACTGTGACAAAAAATGTATTCTAAACAATGAAAACATTGCCAGGAAATACGACACTACGTAAAGAGTCTTTCAGAAGGAGTAATGTAAAACATGTAAATAGGAGTAATGTAAATCATTCGATGAGGATTTACATCCTCACAGCGGAAGGTTCGATTCGTCAGTCTTCACCTCGCGGCAGACATTTACACAGTGTGCATTATGTGAATTTAATTAGTTAGATCGCATTTCAGGTTATTTAGCCGGAGAAGTTGCATGCTGCAAACTCGCTGCACTCTTCCTTATATGGCTCTAAAGTGATGGTACCATGGCACATTTTCTGCCCTCAGTTCAAACCAACATGGCAGCCTTCAAAGCCAATCAATAGAACCTATTAGTCCTTTTCCCATTTCAGAACACGGGTCATACCCTTGAGTATTACTTCTTTGTCTATCAGTAACGCTGGAGAAGGCACAAGAGTATCGATGTAATTCAAAAAACAAACCTTACCCTCAAGCGAATGGCACGTAGTCTGAAATGTGAAAGGAAAGCGTTACGCCCAAGCTGAAGAGATCTATTGAGCTTAAGATTCATGCACTCAAACAACAAGTTATACGATAGTTTTCAGTCAAGGATAACATTTTGTAATTAAGGAATATGACAACTTGTCTGATGAATGATGAAGGATGAGGGTTAAGGGGAGATTAGACTGAGACGTGGGTCGATAGGGAACGGGTGGAAAAGATGCCTCATGCATAGCTAGCAAAATACTCCCCCGAGGCGGCAATATAGACAGTAAAGACAGAATTTCTTAGTAAGAACAATTTTTGACCTTACCAGAACAAAGTAAACATATAAATTTCAACAAATGCTCATATCGGTTCGATTATAGGCATTACTCGTTCAAAGTTGACTGATCGATGCATTTGAAAGTTTTCAATTTGTTTCCAAATTTTTAGTATACATTTTCAGGTCGCAGATAATAGACAGCCCTTCAAAGATTATAGGTCGATCGTTTTCATGGGCAATTAATTTTTTTCCCAGTACTAGTACAAATAGGATTGGCACGTTTGAATCATGTTTTGTTGTTTTTGTTTTGTTGTTGTTGTTTGTTTTTTTTATTGTGTGAACGGCAATTTTGCCACGTCCTAACAAGATAGATAACCCAGATAAAACAAAAGATGTTTTTGGTTTAACCCAGCAGCATTTTATACAAAGATTTCCATTCGAATTGTTTCATACACGAGTGATAAGAGTTCTAGGCTCTTAGTCATAAAGTGTACACTAAACTTCGACTTAACGACGCAGAAGTCGCCAACGCGTCTGCTGCTGCACCTTTTCCACTCGGTCAGATGGAGGCGCGCGTCACCGGTCAGGGTTGCCAGATGACTTCCACGTTTCACGCATTTTTAACGGAAATTCGCGCATTACGCATACTTTCAACGGTAGTTTTATTCTCGTAAAACAAGGACGACTGAATTTTATATTTTAATTCTTACTTTCCCCCTTACACATCTTCAACACTAAATTATAAAATAGCTAAGATATAACGCGCGCTCTAATTGGTCAACTTCGGTGTTATATAACTCAACATAGCACGCGCGCTCGTTTTCCATCTCTTCAGGTAAAAAGGACTCACGAGTTTTGTCCTTCTCGCGTATTACGCATATTCAGCACCAGTGTTACTCTCGTAAARCAAGGACAATTGATCTTAATCATTCTTTCCATCTTACACATATCAAACAGAAAAGGATAAAACTGAATTATGATCGTCTCAACTTAAGCCTAGAGTCCTTACGTATAAGGTATTTCTTTAGTCCAAATCCCGCGTAAGGCGCATTTCCACCCTTGGTTTTCTACCCCTGGTACAAGGGGGAGCGTTGTAAGCCGCCATAGTGTGCCACACAGTGAAAGACTTAGTTTTTTATAGTAGTTATATTCTTTAATTATAAACAGTAGTTTTATACATTTTTAAATTTATGACCCATTTATATATAACAAGTATTTTTTATTTATTTATTTATTTATTTATTTATTTATTTATCTATTTATTTATTTATTTATTTATTTATTTATTTATTTATTTATTTATTTAATAGCTTCAACAGAGCATGGATAGACTCGTAGTCTATGTGGACATGCCCCATACTTCCATCAACATACACAAATTGATACGATTTACAACAGATACATAACTAACAACTAACATGACATGGATAATAATAAAGAAAGAAAATAATCTATCGACAACAGACTGTTACCGGAGTAACAGATCTGCTGTCACACTGGACAGCGACCGACGGGTCGTAAAGGTCGGTAATATATGGAGCAATCTATGCAGCACACTCTCTGAGCAGGCGAGATGTCATCAGGTCCAGCTGATTTGGAAAGTCTGAGTAGTAAAAGGATGTGTTGCAGGTAGAGCAGACCAAAGACTAGGTTGCTGGAAAGTAGAAGCAAAGAAGTTATCGAAAAATTCTGCTTTGTCAAGAGGAGAATATTACTTTGTACCGTTGTGCACAACAGTCGCGGGTAATCAACATTTTCTTGTCTCTGCCTTGAAAAAGGACCAAATCTTAGGCCTAGGGCAAACGTCGAACTTTCCATGCACCGGACTTAATTACATCAAAGAATGCCGCCTCATTAACACCTGATATCCATTGTTTTTAATGCGTTCGGTGCATGGAAAGTTCAAGGTTTGCCCTAGGCCTTACTCTTGTTGATTATTTCAGCAGTACTTGTATTGAGCTTGTGTACATAGGCGTTAAATTTGGCTCCGATGAGGTACTTAGTTTCCCGACGTAATAGCTTCACTCTTTCCCATAACCCTGCGTTGTTACCTTTAGCTGCTTTGCTTCGCAAGGTGTTGTGCTTATATAGAATGAATGACTTCACCATCTATCCACGCCGGAGTGTTTGCGCTTTTCAGCTTTAATTTAGGAATCCATTTGTCGAGAGCTTCAATAATAATTCTTCGACAAAGTTTTCCAAGGCCGACAGTTTTAGGCTTTGAATCTCTTTTACTTAAAAAAAAAAACGAAAGATAACCACAGATAATCCAATACAATATCAAGCTTAGTGAAATTTACCTCGGATGTCTTTCATTGAAATTGAAAATCTGGAGATTTAGGGAAAATCAAGACCAAAAAACAGACTTKAAAACTGGTTAAGGTGAGCAGAAAATAAGCTTACTTTAATTGCCCTATTTCACTATGACGTCACATCAAAACAATCTATTGTTTAAACGCAAAGGATCATGGTCGTCGGAGGGGGTCAAATTCACGCAAATTTACCGAAAACCGTTCTAAAACCCGTATCAATCCACGAAGAGAAGTAGAATGGCCAGTAAATGCTCAGAATATATTTTTTAGTACATATNTATTTATTTATTTATTTATTTATTTATTTATTTATTTATTTATTTATTTATTTATTCATTTATATTCTGTTTATTGAGGTCCTTTTTTAAGAATTATCGAAAGATGAATTAGTTTCCTCAATAAAGATTATTAGTGTATATTTTCTACATAAGTGAATATAATAAATCCGGCGCTCTCATAGGTCACAATGTACGTCCTATGCAGTTAAAAAGTACTAAAACAATTCTTATTATTAATCTCTTTGCCGCCGTTTCTTTACTCCTGCGGCCGGTTCCCACGGACGGACATTACATTTTCAGCCAGACTGACGTCAGAGTAAAGCCGTTTATTCGAGATATTTCGGCGTTAACATCCTTTATGACATTCTGAGGTTTGTTTATTGATTTTCCCTCCTCAAAAACTAACTCTAGRTTTCGGAAATTGATTCAGAAACTGTGCTATAGTCATGAGCTTTAGCGGTCATTCAATAAAGTTAGACAATAAGATCAACTCTTGAGAAAAAGAAATTTTTTGTATGATATATATACCTATTTCAAAAAGCGTTGTCATCGTCAAAGGCGATAAGCGATAGGCCATTCCGACATGGACTAAATGGCTTCGTTGAATACAAAGGCATTGAATCAGTCTCAACACTAAGGTCAATGTTATTGACGAGAATAGGATAGAAGCTGAAACACAAGTCATTCCAGTAGTTCTTGGATCTTGGAAAGACCTATCGACTATCGCTTTGCGCCTATTGCGGCCTATTGCCTATCGCCTTTGGCGATGACAGCGTCTATTGAAATAGGTGTATATATATATCTTTTGTATCCATCGAAAGAAGCAAATCCATTCCTTTTTCTATCTTTTTTTTTTCTTTTCCATCGACTCGAGCAGCTTCAAATTAGGTTTAAACCACAAGTCAACGTTTGACTGACTTCAGTGATAATTTTCGATATAGTAGATGGCGTTCTGTAGTTCAGAACCATCGATCAATGATAGCTAGGCTTCCTAACATACCAAAAAAATCAAAATGGCAAAAAAATGTTTAACAGAATGAGTATATTGTAATCTTATTGTACGAAGTTTTTTACGGCAATAAATATATTTGGAAGTCAGTTTTTTGTACATTCAAGACGTACCACCTTGCGACCTAAGTCTCAATATATTGATCATGAGGTCTAGCATTCAAATATCAGCCACAAACTTTGACCACTGGTTGCGTTACTTTGACTTGGCAAGGACAACGGTCCCACACCCACTAGTTTTAGTTCACATGACTAGCCTGTGTTTCCTTGATTAATTCCTGGTTCAGTAGCGACAAAATCTTATCAGGAAGAGAGTATTAGACGAAGACGATTTTTCCCCATTAAAGGCGCACTCGTGAGCCTTCATATAGTTTAGTCAACTTTTTTACGTTGGACCCCACTCCCCTCTATTAATTAAGGATCAACCAACAGGGCAGTTGTTGCACACACCGCTCTACTCTTCTTAAATAGTCAACATACCAAAGCTTGTTCTGACAAGAGT